GACCTCCTGTTCTTCTTCATGCGGTCGGTGATCTCCTGGCGCAACTGGGTCCATGCGCTTGAGCCAACCTCGAACCTCAGTCTCCTTCGCCGTCATCTCCGACTCCGTCGCCTGCACCTGCAGGCGAGGTGCTGCGGGAGCGGAGGATGCTCTTCGGGTGCACCAGCTCCGCGCCGCCGTCAAAGGTGACTCCGGGCTTGGAGCTGCTGCGCGGCTTGTGCATCTAAACCTGCGAGCCACACCCTCAGCAAACATTCTTCTGCATGACTAGAACATCACTGTGCTCACACTGGCGGCACTGCGAGCAGCGAGACCAAACTCATGACCCCATCATGTGTCAATCGATTTGCTGTGGAGGGAGCATGAGGAGCCAAAACTTGAGCCAAAATGGCTACGGAGGAGCAGGAGGAGGAGGAGGAGGAGCAGGAGCAGGATCAGGAGCAGGAGCAGGAGGAGCAGGAGGATCAGGAGGCGAAGCAGCAGAAGGAGGCCTCTTGGGAGTCTCTTGGGTGCACTCCTGGGGCCTCCTGGGAGCTTCCTGGAGGCCTCTCGGAGGTCTCTCGGGGGCTGCTTCGGGCCTCCCGGGGGCCTGCGACTTCTCCTCGAGGGGCTTCTTGGCCGTCTGCGGCGCTCCTGGCCGTATTGGCGCCGTCGGAAGCCCTCCTCGGGGCCCCAGACATCCGACGTCTGGATTTTGTTCGAGACGCGGGCCCCCGACCTCCCGACCACTTCCCCGGGGCCGGTTCTTCGTCCGTCGTTTTTTGACGGTCCCGAGGGCCGGCGAGAGCTCCGAGACGCCAAAAAGTAAGAAAACCCTCCTCCTTGATTTTTTCGAGACGCCCGATGTCTGGGGGCCTCTCTGGGCCGGCCAGGAGCCCTTCCAGGGCGAGGCGAGGCTGGCTATCGAGAGCCAGCTTGGTCGTTGTGGAGGTCTCCTGGTCTCCGCGCCTCGGAGGCCCTCTCGGGGCCGCCTCTTGGGGCTCTCCTGGGCCGCCTCTTGGGGCCAGCTCGGAGGCCTCTTGGGTGCTCTTGCCGGGTATATGGCCAGGACCCCGCGGTAAGGGGACCCAGTCAGTGCCAGGGCCCCGGAGCTTTTCAAGTGGCCAGAATCACCAAAACCAGGTCTGCCATAAGTGGTGTTTTTTTTCCGTGTGACGGCAGTTCCGGTTAGTGGAACGGGGCGGGAGGGGCGTCCCCAGTACACATCACTAACCCAGGTCCCACTAAACCCAGTTCTGCCAACGCCCGATCTTGGCCGAAGAAGAAAAAACACAAACATAAGCTCTTGGCGCTCCGCGCGGATTTCTTGGATCCGCGCTGGGAGCCCTCTGGCGGCCCCCCGGCGGCGCCGCCCCCTGCGCGCTCCGCGCGCCAGGGAGGGGGGTCCAGCGCAGAAGCGCGGAGCGCACCACCGCCAGGGGGCTCCCAGCGCGAATCCAAGAAATCCGCGCGGAGCGCCAAAGGTTGATGTTTATGTTTGTTTTGTTTTCTTTTTCTACCTGGGGCCATCTCGGTGACCTCTGGGGGCGTCTTCGGAAACTGGACGGCCGAAAATGAGCAAACGCCCGAATCAGTCGAACACACTTATGGCAACTCCATGATTTGGGCCTCTTTGGGGCCTTCTTGGAGGCTGCCTTGGAGGCCTTCTGGCTGGGCCGTTTCGAGACCTCATGGGCCGTCGTATGCGATTTTGAGGCCATCTTGAGCCATCTTAGGGGCCTCTCGACACATCTTCGAGATATCTTGGGGCAATCTTAGGGCTTTTGGCAGTCTGAGGGCGTTCCTGGCCCCTGTCAAGAGCTGTCTTCGGGGGGCCCTCTGGGCCGACTTGGGGCCCCCTTGCGGCGCTTTAGGGCCGTCTTCGAGGCCATGTTGGGCGTCTTGGAGCTCTCCTGGGCCGTCTTGGGGCTTGGAGGCCTCTTGAGCAGTCGCGGGCCATCTCGGAGGCCTCTTGGGCGCTCTCGGGGCCATCTTGATGGTCTCTGGGGCCTTCTAAGGCCGTTGAAATGCCGAAAATGAGCAACCGCCCCATCCATCAAACATCAATGATTTGGCTTCTTCGGGCCCTCTTGGGCCGTCTCGGATGTCTCTTGGGCCGTCGTCGGCGATCTTGAGGCCATCTTGGGGTCATCTCGGCCTATCTTGGAGACATTTTGGGGCCATCTGGGGCTCTCTTTGCGCCGTCTTTGCGCCGTCGTAGCCGTCTTGGAAACCATCTTGGCCGTCTTGAAGGCCATCTTGGGGCCGTCTGGAGCGGAAAGACCAGCAAGCTGGGAAGTTTGTGGGTCCTTACGGGGCCGAACACCGACGGGAAAGACCTTTCATGTGCCCTTTCGAGTGGCCGGCGGGATCGACCGAAGGCCCACCGGAGTGGGAAGCTCTTGGCGGCGTGCTAGTGGTCTCGGGGGTCATCTTGGGACGGAGGGCTCGACATGTCGATTAGCGTTCCCCCTCTGGGCACGCGCGACCCCCCTGGAAGTTTGTGCATTTGGGGGACCAGGGCCCGCAATATGTTCTACATTTGAAGACTGAGGACTCGAAGGAACTCGTGCCTTAGGGCACGGTGGAGATGGAGCAGGTCAATCAATTCTCGGCGGCGAGCCCAGGGGGTCAGTGAGAAGGGGTGGGCCTTCTCAGAGGGCTCGGAAGTTCCCAAGCCTTCTGACAAATGTTCTAAGCCTTCCCCGAAGACACAGACAACTTCTCAGAAGGCGCGAGAGTTCCTGAGACACTCGGCCGCCTTCTGAGAAGGCCTTCTCCTTCTCACTTCTCCCCTCGCTCGTCGCCGACTTCTGCCTTTTGCTCTCGGGCTTTCCAGCCTGGATGGTGCTTCGTTTCGGGCATCTCCAGGAGGCATTGGGCCTTCGGCGAGGGGGCTAGTGTTCTTGACCCGCGCTCTTGTGGCTCCTCTCTTGGGGCCTTTGAGAGGCCTCTTGGGGGCCGTCTTGCTTTGCGTGCAGTCTTTCACCTGGGGCGGGGGCACTTTTCGACTGTCCTCGGAAGCCGCTGTTCCCTCTGCGCGGGCTGCGGCTGCTCCGGGAGGGGCCGTGCCCCTCGATGGCCACGCCCCGTACCGGGGCCCACTTCGAGCCGATCGATCCGATTCGATGTCGAATCCGGCCGGCCCGATCCGATTCGATCTGGACAATCATTCTCGCCATGGGGGAAGCGGGTCCTGAGTGAAGCGGGTCCTGAGGTTCTTCGCCGTTTTCGGGCTCCTGGGGCCCTCCACGGGCCCCGGGCCTGTCAGAGAACGACTACGACTCGGGATGGCGAGCTCGTCCTGGGGGAAAGCCCCAAGGTCCAGGAGCCAATTATTCCGACGATCCGATGCGGCCCCATGCTCGCACGGCGCCGCTGTGAACCCTTGCGCAGCCGATCCGATTCGGTTTCGGTGCCCTGCCTAGGCAGCCCGATCAGGGGCAGATGCCGATCCGATCCCATGTGCCGGTGCGATGCTGGCGGATCCTGGCACCCTCCGCGCAGCGCGCGGGAGAGGGTCGTCGTCCGTCGTCGTCGTCGTCGTCGTCGTCGTCGTCGTCGTCGTCGTCGTCGTCGTCGTCGTCGTCGTCGTCGTCGTCGTTGGTAGGGACGCTCCTGGGAGGGCCGCCCCCCCACTCGCCCAGGCCCCGAGCAAGATCCGCTCGAGGCCAGGTTCAGAGCTCCTTCATGGGTGGCTGCTCCTGGCCATCGCCTCCTCCTCCTCCTCCTCCTCCTCGTCCTCCTCCTCCTCCTCCTCCTCCTCCTCGTCATCCTCCTCCTCCCCCTCCTCCTCCTCCTCCTCCTCCTCCTCCTCGTCGTCTCCCTTCTCCTCCGCCTGCTCCCCCTCGTCCTTCTCCTCCTCCTCCTCCTCCGGCCAGCTCCTCCTCCTCCTCCTCCTCCTCCTCCTCCGCCTCCTCTGCTTCCCTTCCTTCTCCTCCTTATCCTCCTTCTGCTCCTCCCTCCTCCTCCTCCTCCTCCCTCCTCCCCTCCCCCTCCTTCTTTTTCTCCTCCTCCCCATCCTCCTCCTCCTCTTCCTTCTTTTCCTCCTCCTCCTCCTCATCATCATCATCATCATCATCATCACCATCATCATCAGCACCATCACCATCCTCATCCTCATCTTCCCTCTTCTCCTCCTCCTCCTCCGCCTTCTCCTGCTCCCCTCCTCCTCCTTGTCCGCGTCCTCCTCCTCCTCCTCCTCCTCCTCCTCCTCCTCCTCGTCCCTCCTCTCCCCTCCTCCTCCTCTCCTCCTCCCCTCCTCCTCCTCTCCCTTCTCCTCCGCCTGCTCCTCCTCCTCCTCCCCTCCTCCTCCTCCGCCTGCTCATCATCTCCTCCTCCTCCTCCTCTCCTCCTCCTCCTCCTCCTCCTGGCCAGCTCTCCTCCTCCTCCTCCTCCTCCCCTCCTCCTCCTCCTCCCCCTCCTCCTCCTCCTCCCCTCCTCCCCTCCTCCTCCCCTCCTCGTCCCCCTCCTCCTCCTCCTCCTCCTCCTCCTCCTCCTCCTCCTCCTCCTCCTCCTCCTCCCCCTCCCCTCCTCCTCCTCCTCCTCCCTCCTCCTTCTCCTCCTCCTCCCCTTCCTATTCCTCCCCCTCCTCCTCCTCCTCCTCCCGCGCGTCGACGGAGAGACCCGCCTGCCAACAGTTGCTCCACGGTCGTTTTGCCTTATCCCCTGATGGCCTTGGGGGGGGGGGCCGTAGAAGCTCCAGGGCACCATAGGAGACTCAAACCGAATAAGAGAAAACAGCATAAACATAAACTCTCGGAGCTCCGTGCAGATCTCTTGGATCTGCGTTGGGCCCCCTTGGCTGTGCCTCTGGCGCCGCCTCTGGCGCGCTCCGCGCGCCAGGGATGGGGTCCAGCACGGATCAAAGAAATTCTGCGCCGAGCTCCGAAGGTTTATGATCATGCGGGCTTGTATGCATCCCACGAGCAAAACTCGACGACGCAGGTGCACCCAGATTCTCTCACCGCAGGATTTCTTGTCGTACGCGTCCACTGTATCCCTCCTTCCCTGAGGCCGTTCCAGCTCAGGCCGCGGACGGGAGCGGCGGGCGGGGGGGGGGGCTCTTCTTTTCCGGGCTGCGCGCCCCACCTCCCGGGCTCGCGCGCGACCCATGGCAGGCGCGTGGCCAAAGGGCCTGGTGTACAAGAACACTTTTCTGGACTGCGAGTCGCCGTGGATCTCTCCTGTCACCGTGGAGCGGCGCGCCAAGTCGGACCCCTCCTCGGACCGCTCCTCGGCGTCGGATCTGGCTGGCGACGGCAGACTGGAGAAGGGGCAGCTCTCCTCGGCGACTGCAGACTGGACACTGCCCGGCCACTGCAGCAGGGAGCAGCGGCCTTTGACCTCTGGGACAGGCAGCAGCAGGAGCGATCGTGGAGGGCCAGGGTGTGTTTCGGTCGGGCCGCAGCAGCAGGATCCGTCGTGGCCCGAGCCAGCGAATTTGGAGTCCGCCGCTTGGACACTCCGCCAGGAGATGGAGGAAGAGGAGCGCTCGAAGGAGGGCCTAAAAGCGGGGACCCCCATGACAAAGACGCAGCGGCGTCACTTCCAGCGAAAGTGTGCGAAGGTCAGGCAGGCGAGCGAGATTCCCGACGCAGCGGCCGGCAGCTCGAAAAGCTCCACCAAGGTCTCTCTGTGATGGCCCCTGTTCGTTCAGGTCCTGGTAGCTGGTAGGATGTGGCCTGCGCACGTTACCTCGGTGAGGCCGCGTCTTCGTCGCGCTACCAGGCTTAATTAGTGGCTCTTTCTGCTCTCGATGGATTGGTCCTCCTCCCGTCCTTCCTGCTCTCCCCCCCCCCCCCCACGCGCCTCCTCGGGATCTTTCCGGAGGCCGGGCTGCCCGCGGCAGGGCGTGGTAGGCGTTCTTGGCGCTCCCGGGCGCCCGCGCCCTGCCCCACACGTCCGGCGGCGCGCCGCCCCCTCCGAGCCCGGGGCTCTCGGGGCGGAGAACGCGAGGGCGCTCTCCGGACGGGGCCAGGGCGAGGACGCATCCCAGACCCCCTCGAGGAATGACAAAAATCACGACGGGAGGTTTTTCCTAATTTTCGGCCTGCGGGGGCCCTCACCGGGCCTCGGGAGCGTCAAAAGACGGCTCAGGATGAAAAACCGGTCCCGGCGAATAGGTCTGGACCTCTGGGGGTCGCGTCATGAAAAAATCATGACGTCGGGGGTCTGGGATCCGTGCCAGAGCCTTTGTGGGCCCCGGGAGCGGCAGGGCCGTTTTTTCACCGTGTCAGGAAAAGTGCCCCTGGAAAATGGGAACGGCAAAACAACGGCGACCGGAAACGGCAAAAAAACGGCTCCAGGATTGGGCCTGGAGCCGGAACCGTTCAGAAAACGGCGACGGAACCGGTAAAAAAACAGCGTCGGAACCGGGAAAAAACGGCAAAACGGAACCGCTAAAAAACGGCCTTATAGGCCAGAGCGTTCTGGAACACTCTCGGAGCGCTCCGACACGCTCTGAGGCGACCGCGGCGCTCGAGACGCCTTGACAGGGCCACTGGTCCTCGCAGGCGCTCGAGGGATCTCCGCCCGGTCTCGCCCTCTTCCCGGCCTTGTCCCAGCTCTCCGTGCTTGAGAGCTGGGCTCTCGCAAGGATCTAGATTTGTGGAGGTTGATCAATGAACAGGAAGCATGTTGCCAAATTTCCAGATGTCTAGAACATGTATTAAAACTGCTTAACACATGTTAGCAAGAGTTTTGAAACATGTTTAGAACATGTTCCCTACATTGTAAAGCCGTGTTTAATTCCATGATAGGACTGTTCGAGTGTCCATTGTCATGGCATCCACTAATCTAGACCTAGGGGCCCCTGTCCGCACCACAGCGCAAGCTTGATTTGCTCTCGAGTCCAGCACATCCTTGCAGCGTGTCGCCCACTGACTGCGCGGCACGTGGCGCTGCAGGAGGAGAGCAGACGGGAGGGCACAGGCAGCTGCAGTCATGACGCAAGTCAGGAGGGGAAAGAAACACTCAGACACAATTACTCGTCGATTCCCCAGAAAATACTGGAAAATTCGGGAAGTGGGGGGGAAGACAGGAACCCAGAAGATATAGGAAAATATGGGGAATAGTTTTATTTGTGTGTATTTATTTGTGTGTCCCAGGGCCCCTTCAACGTAAGCCTCTCGAGTCAGTAAGTTCTGCGCGTCAGGGGCCTCTGGAGCATTCTCCTGACGACCTCTCTGGGCCTCTGGGGACCTTCGACGCCTCTCGGGGCACGACTTGCTCTTTGTGAAGCACATCTTGATTGCGTATGTGGCCGCCTGGACCAGCCTCTTGGCCGAAAGAGCGCCCCCGCTCGGCGAAATCTGGTGCCGCACCCCGCGTGACAAGTTGGGTTACCGGGGGGGGTGAGTTTGTGCAGAATGAACGGCCCTAAGGCCAAGGGGGCCCAGGCGCCCGGTAGATGGTCAAGTTTTAAATGTTAAGCCTGTGACCCCAAATCGAACCTTGTCAATCTACCAATCAGGGCCCCGTAAGCTCGGAAACGCTAGATTGGGACATCCAACATCTTTCGAAGCCCATGTTTTCCAGACGTTGGCACGAACTAATATTGCACTGCAGTATTCCCATACGAAAACTGGCCAGAACTTTTAAAAACCTGCAAAGTCGCTATAGACGATAGACCCGGACAAAGACCCGAATCCTGCAGTGCAGCAAGGAAACACGAAAAGTGGACGACCAAATTCGACTTTGCAGGAAATGGTGTCGTTTTCCCGACTGGCCGATGTCCTGGTGAATTAATTGTCCTGGTTCCCTGGGGCCCCATCCAACTTTCAATCCGCTACTCCCGAATTGAGAATTTGAGTCTGAAAGTTCCCAATATCATTCTTCAGCGGGAAAGATTTCGCATGTTTCAAGCTTTCAAATTAAAATCCTGCACCGCAGACCCAACCCCTCGTCCTCGCACTAGGGATTAAACGTCTGGGCGTTTTGGTCTGATACATCTGCACAAACGTCCCCATATCCCCCATGTTTTTTGGCCCGCCTAACTCAGGTCCCTTCCCAAAGGGTTATGGGTTCTTTTTGGGTCAATCAACCGAGGAGAGGAAAGATGAGGAGCGGCGGCGAAACCTATTCTCGAGCGAGATGTGATCGCTCCTGGCCGCTGCTGCGCAGCAGCGCTGCACTACGCTCTGCCGAAGGCTTGCGGCTGCCGCCTGGCCAGAGTGCGCGGGCTTGCGTCGCGTTCCGCGTGCGACAGGCCGCAGCGGCCCGCCACAAAGGCGCCCCACTCGGCGCGCTCTGGTCGAGGAGGGGGGCAGGTCGGGTCATGAGGCCGCTTGTGCCCTTCGGGGCGCGCCGCCTTCGGGTTGTGGTTAAGTCGGGCTTGCCCCTCTACAGGAGGAGTACTCAAAACTGGTTAAAGATTGCTCGGAGGACGATTTTTACCTAACAGCGAAGACTGATAGGTTTCTAGTAGGGTCAAAAGAAAGCATCATGACTCCCGAGGGGGGTCTGGGCGGGATCCAGACGGGTGCCCCGGGAAACCGGGGATTCCTTTTTTAGCCAACAGTAACGCACTTCGTGGTCTTCGAGTTCCCAGAGTTCCATTCCTTGGCATGAGTTTGAATGCCCGGAGCCAGTTGTAGGCCACTTCGTGTTCTTCGAGTTCCCAAAACTCCATTCCTGGGCATGATTTTGAATGCCCGGAGCCAACTGTAGGCCACTTCGTGGTCTTCAAGTTCCCAGAACTCCATTCCTGGGCATGATTTTGAATGCCCAGAGCCAACTGTAGGCCATTTCGTGGTCTTCGAGTTCCCAGATTTCCATTCCTGGGCATGACTTTGAATGCCCGGAGCCAACTGTAGGCCACTTCGTGTTCTTCGAGTTCCCAGAACTCCATTCCCGGGCCACATTTTGAATGCTGAGGCAGGCTGATGCTGAGGCTGAGGCAGGCTGAGGCTGAGGCAGGCTGAGGCTGAGGCCGAGGCTGAAGGCAGACTGAGGCTGAGGCTGAAGCAGGCTGAGGCTGAGGCTGAGGCAGGCTGAGGCTGAGGCTGAGGCAGGCTGATGCTGAGGCAGGCTGAGGCTGAGGCTGAGGCTGATGCAGGCTGAGGCTGAGGCAGGCTGAGGCTGAGGCCGAGGCTGAAGGCAGACTGAGGCTGAGGCTGAAGCAGGCTGAGGCTGAGGCTGAGGCAGGCTGAGGCTGAGGCTGATGCAGGCTGAGGCTGAGGCAGGCTGAGGCTGAGGCCGAGGCTGAAGGCAGACTGAGGCTGAGGCTGAAGCAGGCTGAGGCTGAGGCAGGCAGGCTGAGGCTGAGGCTGAGGCTGAGGCTGAGGCAGGCTGAGGCTGAGGCTGAGGCTGATGCAGGCTGAGGCTGAGGCAGGCTGAGGCTGAGGCCGAGGCTGAAGGCAGACTGAGGCCGAGGCTGAAGCAGGCTGAGGCTGAGGCTGAGGCAGGCTGACTGAGGCTGAGGCTGAGGCAGGCTGAGGCTGAGGCAGGCTGAGGCTGAGGCCGAGGCTGATGCAGGCTGAGGCTGAGGCAGGCTGAGGCTGAGGCCGAGGCTGAAGGCAGACTGAGGCTGAGGCTGAAGCAGGCTGAGGCTGAGGCTGAGGCAGGCTGAGGCTGAGGCTGCAGATGCTGAGGCAGGCTGAGGCTGAGGCTGAGGCTGATGCAGGCTGAGGCTGAGGCAGGCTGAGGCTGAGGCCGAGGCTGAAGGCAGACTGAGGCTGAGGCTGAAGCTGAGGCTGAGGCTGAGGAGGCTGAGGCTGAGGCTGAGGCAGGCTGAGGCTGAGGCAGGCTGAGGCTGAGGCCGAGGCTGCAGGCAGACTGAGGCTGAGGCTGAGGCTGAGGCTGAGGCTGAGGCAGGCTGAGGCTGAGGCTGAGGCTGAGGCAGGCTGATGCTGGCAGGCTGAGGCTGAGGCTGAGGCTGATGCAGGCTGAGGCTGAGGCAGGCTGAGGCTGAGGCTGAGGCTGAAGGCAGAGGCTGAGGCTGAGGCTGAGGCTGAGGCTGAGGCAGGCTGAGGCTGAGGCAGGCTGAGGCTGAGGCTGAGGCTGAGGCAGGCTGAGGCTGAGGCAGGCTGAGGCTGAGGCCGAGGCTGAAGGCAGACTGAGGCTGAGGCTGAAGCAGGCTGAGGCTGAGGCTGAGGCAGGCTGAGGCTGAGGCTGAGGCTGAGGCAGGCTGATGCTGAGGCAGGCTGAGGCTGAGGCTGAGGCTGATGCAGGCTGAGGCTGAGGCAGGCTGAGGCTGAGGCCGAGGCTGAAGGCAGACTGAGGCTGAGGCTGAAGCAGGCTGAGGCTGAGGCTGAGGCAGGCTGAGGCTGAGGCAGGCTGAGGCTGAGGCTGAGGCTGAGGCAGGCAGGCTGAGGCAGGCTGAGGCTGAGGCCGAGGCTGAAGGCAGACTGAGGCTGAGGCTCTGAGGCTGAGGCAGGCAGGCTGAGGCTGAGGCTGAGGCAGGCTGAGGCTGAGGCAGGCTGAGGCTGAGGCTGAGGCAGGCTGAGGCTGTGACTGCGACTGCCGTTGCCACTGCGACTGTCATCGCGAATGCGACTACGACTGCGAGAACAGCAGAATTCTATCACTGGATTCTCATCTGAATCTTAAGGGGAATGCTTCCAGATATGCTCCTACACATCGCTGTTAGGTTGCTTTGCCGGGATCATTCCGCATTTCTTGGCTATTCTCGAGTATGTTTCGGGGTATTTTTTTATTTCTCGTCCAACATCCGCCTGCAGGAGGACACGCCCGACCCAACGTGGGTGGTACGGTGGGGGCGTTCGTTGGGGAGCATGTCTGGGAGGCCTCAGACCCCTGGGGGGGGGTCCTCGTCCGGCGAGGGCGGCGGTGACCTCCGTGGGCCCCTCCACGACTGGAGCTCTGCGGGCTCTCCCTCCTCCCCCTCCTCCATTGGGGGGCCCACGTGCCCCCCTCCTCCCCCTCCATACCTTGAGGGGCGACATCCATATTTTCGAGGAGGGGGAGGAGGGGGGCGACATCCGTGGCCACTCCACGACTGGAGTTCTGCGGGCCCCCAGACCCTGGACTCCTTTGGGAGAAGAAACCACCATACACCCGGGGCGCTGAAGAAGGAGCCCTTGTCGTTGGGGAGGGGCTCGGTGTTCCTTGGTTGTTTTGCAGTTTGCCCTGCGGGTTTTCCCTGGGAGATGGAAGTTCAACTGATGGGAAAAAAAGGGGCCTCGTTCCTTATTTAGGGTTCCTGAGGTCGACGCCCCGACTGTAATCAACCACCGTGGTGGGAGTATGAGGGAGGAGCTGCAGCTGCTGCTCACGGCCGTCATGCTCTGGCGGGTCGGCTCGACACGCCGCGTTGCCGCTCTGCTCTCCTCTCTCTCTCTCTCTCTCTCTTCTGTGTCAGAGCTCTGTGCGGGTGGGAAGCAGCAACAATCCACCGACCTTCACACACACACACGCCTGCTATTCTCGATCCGCCGTTCTGCTCCCCGTTCCGCCAGAGCACCAGCGGCCGGCCAGCGCTTCCCAGCGGCCTCGCTCCCGCCCCTTCCCGCCCATCCCCGAGCTTCACCGTGCTGCCTTCTGCTCCTCTCCGGGCTGACGGACGGTGAGGATCCCATGCAGCGGGCTCGGGGAGATTCAGAGCGACGTGCGGCGTGCGGCCTCGCTTTCACGTCCAGGTGCGGCGTCGGAGCGGCCCCCCAGAGCAGAACCCCTCCCCCCAACAAGATGCCCCAACAGGGCTTCCAGGGGGGGCAAACGATGGCCCAACAGAGCGCCGAGACGGCCCACGGCGGGCAATAGACGGCTTCAGTGCGGCCCCAAGGCGCTTCCAAGACGGCCCGAAGGAACCCAAGACGGCCCCAAGATGGCCCCAATAGATCCCCAAGACGGCCCCAAAGGGACCCCGACATTCCCCCTGTACAGCCTCTCCAGCATGCGCCCGAGAGGCCCCAAAGAAGGCTTCAAACAAGAGTTCCTCGAGACTGCCCCCAAGTTGGCAAAATCGTTCAACCTGAGGGTACCCACGACATTCCCACGAGAGACGGGAAGCCTCAGAAACGGCGTATTCCCCGTCCCGGCAGGACTCCGACGCGGCCCACGAATCAAAGAGGACGACCGATTTCAGTTCAGCTTTTCCCCCGCTCCCGAGGATCTCACAATGGGGGTCCAGAATGATCCCAAGATTGCCCACGAAACGTCTACGAGGGCCCTGGAGGGGGTCTGGACCGGCCCCAGACGGCTCAAGAGGGATGGAGGCAGAGGGGAGGAGGAACAGAAGGACGAGGAGAATGGGGAGGAGCAGGATGAGGAGAAGGAGGCAACAGGATGCAGTGCCAGCCTTGGGTCCCGCTTGCCTTGTCTGTTGCGATTCGCCATCGTTTGTGGTTGATGCCCTAACATTGGCACGATAGGGAGGAAAAAGGAGGGAAGAAGCACGAGGAGGAGGAGGAGGAGGAGGAGGAGGAGGAGGAGGAGGAGGAGGAGGAGGGGGTATTACGAGGAAGAATTGGAGGGGGAGGGGACTGGCACTAGGAAGGGCAATGGGGATTAGCACTACGAAGGGTGATCCTAAGAATTGCGCGCAGGACGGGGAAGACGGAAGGAAGGACGATAAGCGCGAGCGAGGGGGGGGCGAGAGGAGGGAGGAGGAGGGAGCGGGAGGGAGGCGGGCGGCGGACAGGGGGAGGCCCAGGACCGCTTCACCTGCGTTTCACCACAGCGCCAGGGTCTGCGCTGGTAAAACGGGTTTTGATTGTGGTTGATTTTCTGCTGCACTAAGATTGCCCTAGGCATCTCAAGAGGTGGGGTGGAGAGCAGATGCGAAGGCGTCTCGCGGCGAGGGCTGGGGCCATCGCCACGAACAGGAAAAAGGCCGTTCGAGCTCGACTAGGTAGATCCGAACCATACATTGCGAGTCGATCAGCCTCGATACGCTTCGACCTGGGCATTTATCCTTCCGCCTCTTCTTCTTTTCTTCTTCTTCTTCTTCTTCTCGTCTTCCTCCTTCAGTTCCGTCAGTTCCGTAGAGGCTTGGATTGCCCGGCTTTTGACTTGAGGTCGCAACGTGCCGGAGGGAGAATCATCTTTGAATCTCCTTGTGAGGTTCAATATCTCACTTCGACAATGGTCACATGTTTCAAAGTGGATGACGTCATTTCTCTTTGCCTGCAATTTGGAGCAGATTTGAGCCTACGGGTTGAATCTGTCCTCACGTCGCCTCCTCCTCCTCCTCCTCCTCCTCCTCCTCCTCCTCTCCCTCCATTCGGCTCCTCCTCCTACGTCCACCATCCATCTGCCTCCTCCCTCCTCATCTGCGAGACCGGGCGCACCACCTGCCGGCGCGATGCCTGCCGCGGTCCTCAGATGAGGCCTTTTCTGCTGCTGTATACGATTAAGTCGGGCCTGTCCCTCTACAGGGGGAATATTCAAAAATAGTCTGGGGACTTGTTTTTGAGTATTTTTGGGTATTTTTTGGGGTATGCTTGAGAGCTTTTTTTGGTTTTTCATGCAAAGTCCCCCTGTAAGGGGACATGCCCGACTTAAGTATACTATCTCGCGCAGGCCGTCCAGCGCATTCGTGCGGTGCGCCTGTTTGGGCGAGGTGTCCACCGGCGCGCGCAAAGTGGCCCTTGCGCCAGTCATGTGGGCGAAGTGTCCAACGGAGCCCCAAGAACTGCTACCCTCCAGTTGCAGTACATGCCAGTTTCCTGGAGAGGCGTCCACAGAAAACCCCAAAATGGCTCCCCTAGGCATTGCGGTGCGCCCGCCAGTGTGGGCGAGGTGTCTAATGGCTTTCGGTTTGCACTCTGGTGCGCCAGCGTGGGCGAGGTGTCCACCGGCGCTCCAAGACTTGCTCCCCAGTCATTGCAGTGCGACAGTTTTTTATGGAGAGGCGTCCACATGCCCCCAGAACGGCTCTTCCAGGCACCCTGGTGCGCCAGTGTGGGCGAGGTGTCCACCGGCGCCCCCAGGAGTGGCTCCCCCAGGCATTGCAGTGCGCCAGTGTGGGCGAGGCGTCCACCGGTGCACCCAGGGTGGCTTCCCCTGGCAATGCAAGAGGAGGAGGAGGTGGAGGAGGAGGAAGAGGAGGAGGAGAAGGAGGAGGACGAGGTCGCGCAGGACGGGGAGCTAGATGAATTGTGAAGAAGTGCTCCGCGACTATTGTCGTGCGCGCTCCCTAGCGGCCATACACGGCCCAAGACCCCCATGACGGCCCAAGAGGGCCACACGGCCCCCAAGACTGCCAAGACATGCCCAAGACGATTTTACAGCGCTCTAAAGTAGCCCTCGATGGCTTCATGGCGGCCTAAGATGCCCCCGACACACCCCAAGAAAGCCTCATGAGCACCCCCGAAATGGCTGATAGATTTCGTTTTGGGTTTTCGCGTATTTCAGCGTTCTCGCTTTATCGTTCTTCCGACAGCCCCGGACGGCCCCGGGGGGCTTCTCCGTTCGCCCCAAGACGCACCAGAAAGGCCCAAGATGACCCCAATACGGCCCAATGGGCCACCAAGACGGCCCAAGAGTGCCCCAAGATCCCCAAGGGACCCCCAGCGAGACGCCAGGGTCCCGAGAGGGGGGCCGAGAGGGGCCTGGGCTCCCCGCGTGCCCCCATGACCCTCTGGGAGGCCCCAAGAGGCCCTCCTCCTCCTCCTCCTCCTCCTCCTCCTCCTCCCTCCTCCTCCTCCTCCTCCTCCTCCTCCTCCTCCTCCTCCTCCTTCTCCCTCCTCCTCCTCTCCCCCGAGAGCGAGGAGCCAGGAGGCTCTCGCGCGGCTTGAGCTCGGGCTCTGCTTCTGGTCCCGTCGGGGCTCCCCTGGCGGCCACCCATGGGGCTCCTCTAGAGCCGTCGTTCCTCCTCCTCGCCTTCAGTCGGGTACGTCCCTGTACAGGAGGAGTTTCCAAAAATAGTCAACACATCGCATGGGGACGAGTTTGTGTTTTACTATGTTTTGACTGTTTGGGGGTACTTCTGACAATGCCCTGGTTTTTCTTCCAAGATCCGCCTGTAGGAGGACATGCCCGACCCAGTCCTTGCCCCGCCTGCCAGACGGGAGGCCCCCGGATTCTTACCGGCGCCGCCGCCGCCGTGGTGGTCTGCGGCGCGGGCGGACGCGGAGGCGTCCGTTCCCCTCCCTCCCTTCCCTCCCCCTTCTCTCGTGTCTCCTGTCTCCTCCTCCTCCTCCTCCTCCTCCTCCTCCTCCTCCTCGAGCCCCGAAGGAAGGTGGCTCGGGGTGAGAAGCCCGGCCCCAGGGCACGGGCCGAGGCCCTCCCAGTTGGGGGGGCCCCCGGAACTCTGGGCCGAGAGGGCACGGCGCCGAGCGCCCGGGGCACCGCCGCCGCCCGCTGGGCCCGATCCTTCCCGCTTCCCCATCACTGCGTTCCCCTCCTCCTCCTCCTCCTCCTCCACCAGCCTCCTCCTCCTCCTCCTCCTCCTCCTCCTCCCCCGCCTCCTCCTCCACCTCCTCCTCCTCCTCCTCCTCCTCCTCCTCCTCCTCCTCCCCTCCTCCTCCTCCTCATCCTCCTCCTCCTCCTCCTCCTCCTCCTCCTCCTCCTCATCCTCCTCCTCCTCCTCCCCCCTCCTCCTCCTCCTCCCCTCCTCCTCCTCCTCCTCCTCCTCCTCCTCTCTCCTCCTCCCCTCCTCCTCCCTCCTCAATCCTCCCTCCTCCTCCTCCTCGCCTCCTCCTCCACTCTCCTCCACCCCTCCCTCCTCCTCCACCTCCTCCTCCTCCCCTCCTCCTCCACCTCCTCCTCCTCCTCCTCCTCTCCTCCTCCTTCCACCTCCTCCTCCTCCTCCTCCTCCTCCCTCTCCTCCTCCTCCCCCTACTCCCTCTCCTCCTCACTTCTCCTCCTTCTCCTCCTCCCTCCTCCGCCTCCCTCCTCCTCCTCCCCCTACCCTCCTCCTCCCCTTCTCCTCCTCCTCCTCCTCCTCCTCCTCCTCCTCCTCCTCCTCCTCCTCCTCCTCCTCCCGATCCTTCCCCGCTTCCCCGCCTGCGCTCGGGCGATTAGTATGCATCCGAGAACGAGAGGCGCAGGAGAGGAGGACGAGAAACCGATGAGGGGGGTGACCATGAGGAAGACTGGGGAGAGGAGAACGATGAGGAGGAGGAGAGCGAGAATGAAGATGGAGCGTAGGCGGAGGATGAGCGTGACATTTGCCTGAGACTAGAGAACCTAAGCGCTGGTGAAGCGCGCGCGTGGTTCTAGTTGACATGTGGTTGTGGTTTCAAGTAGTTTGTGCTTCAATCCAGAGACGTCCGGTCTGATAACTCCAATTCCCAGTTTTTCAGTTTCGGCGCATCCGTACCTCACGTGCTGTTCGCTCCTGGTTCTCTTTCTCTGCCTTCCCGTCCTCGTTCTCCTGTTTCCTGCGAGCCTGGCGGGCGGTCCCAGCGGGCGAGCCAGGCAGGGCGGGCCGGGCGGGCGTCAAACAGTGTGGAGCCCTATCGAGTCTGGTCGGGCGGGGCAGGGCGAAGAGCGGGGCGGGTCGGGCGGGCGGGGCATGAAAGTGTGGATGTCTATCCGCTGTACGGTCGGACCGAGGTCTGAGATCGAGGTCGGCTCGGGGAGGGTACCCTGAGGTTTTTCGTGCTCGCTGGGTGTTCTCGTGCACCCTGGGGAGGGTGCCCTTGGATGTTCTCTGAGTTTGGCCAGCGGAGTGTCTCATGTCCCAGGATGGCCCTACAAGCCTCGTCAAAAACAAGCAGAAGACTTCTGAATTCGGTGATTGTGGGGTCAGCGCTACTCCAATGCTGACGGATGCCTGTTGACTCGGACGCGGTGTTGTCCAAAAACCGCCCCCGCCCCCTCAGCATTGCAGAACGAGCTTTCAGACAAGTGCCCGAAAGCGTCGTGCTCCGGGATTTCAACTTCCATTTCTGGATATGTCTTGACGAGGCTTGTAGGCTGTTCTTCTGTCCCAGGTCCGACCGTGACGAGTGGGTCTCTGTCGGGCGTGGCCGGCAGAGCGGCGCCGACGGATGAGCCAGGCGGGTCGGGAGGGCCAGACATGGAAGTGTGGGTCTCTATCGAGTGCGGTCTCGGGGGCGGCAAAGAGGGGGGTGGTGACTAGGGGGGGGTGGTGGATATCATGGCGGGGGCCACGATAGATATCTCCTCAGATCTCATGGCGCCTCCTCTTATTCCATTGCGTCCCTGGCCCCCCCCATGGGCCGCGCACCTGCCGCCGGTCATGATTTGCACCCCCCACCCCTTGGACACCCCCCTCTTGGCCGCTCCCGACGGCCGGCGGGGCGGGGCCGACGGGCGGGTCGGGCGGGCGGGACAAGAACGTATGGATCTCTATCGAGTGTGGCCCAGCGAAGCGGGCCTACGGGCGGGGCGGGGCGAGCGGGCGGGGCATCTGCACGCAGGATTCTGCAGAGCCCGGCCAGGTGGGGCGGGGCACGCGGGCAGGGCGGGCGAGGCGGGCGGGACAGGAAGGTGTGGGGCCTTCTCGCGCGCGATCGGGCGAAGCGGGTCAGGCGGGCGGGTGGGTCACGAAAGCGGAAGTCCCTAGCTGAGTCTGGTCGAGGGGGCCGGGGCGAGGGGCACGGCGTGTCGGGCAGGCAGAACAGCAGAGTGTGGGGCCCTACCGCGTCTAGTCTTAAGTCGGGCCTGTCCCCCATACAGGGGGATTTTCGACGAAAAATAAAAACAAACAAAATAGTCAAAACATATGCCAAAAATAGTCAGGGGACTATGTTTTGAGTATGTTTTGACCTTCTTGGGGCATTTTGGGGTTGGTCTAGTCTGGTGGGCCAGGGCCGTGCGGGTGGGCGGGCCATGCAGGCGAGACGTCAGAGTGTGGGACACCGTCGAGCCCCACGCGAGGTGGTCAGGTGGGCCGACGCGAAGCGGCGGGACGGGTCCAGCGGGCGAGGTATCGACAGGTCGCGTTTCATCGAGCTTCTGTCGAGTGAGGCAGGGCGAAGGGGCGAAGCGGGTGAGGCGGCCGGCACACTCGTGGTGTGGGCCCCTGTTGCGTCTGGTCGGGCGGCGCGGGGCGAACAGCGGGTCGGGCAGAGCGGGCGGAACATGTCAGCATAGAGCTTTGTTTAGTCGGATCGAGTGGAGCCGTCCCAACGGGCGGGTCCAGTCACGCGGGCGGGACCTGAAAGTGCAGGGCCTTGTCGAATTTGTCAAGTAGGGCAGGGATCCCAGGAGAGGGGGGCGGGTTCGGCGGGGAGGATGTTAAAGTGCAGGGCCCTATCGAGTCTGGTCGGGCGTGCCGGAAGGGGTCAAGCGGGTCAGGCGGGCAACATTTTAAAGTGTGAGGTCGCATCGGGTCTGGCCGGGCGGGTCAGGCGGGCGATAATAAAGCGCGGGGACCTGCAAGGTTCCTGCCAGGGTGTAGGACTCGTCGCTTTCTGTTTGGAATTACCCAGTTTGGGAAATTCCAACACGTAGTGGGCTCTTCATCTCGTGTATGGGAAGTCCTGGATTGATGCTTTCAAACGTCCAATATCTGAACTGGGGATTTGCATATTGAACTGTTCCAAGGTTTCCGAACTATCCTGTAGTGTGGGTTCTCGTTTTGAAGAGACAGCGCGCCGCGTCCCTCCCTCCCTCCCGCCTCCTCGTTCCTCATCCCGTTTCTGCCTCTGCTCTCCTCACACGTTTCGTGGTCCCAAAGGGAGCTCCACCCAGGGCCCCAGTGGCTACGGCCGTATGGCGAAACCGCGCCCATTTCGGCACACCCCTCACGCGTTTCGTGGCCCGACAGGGAGCTCCACCGACGGCCCCCGTGGCTGCGCTCGCATGGCGATGCCGCGCCCATTTCGGCACACCCCTCACACGCTTCGTAGCCCAATAGGGGGCTCCACTGAGGGCCCCAGTGGCTGCGCTCGCATGGCGCTGCCGCGTCCATTTTGGCACACCCCTCGCTCGATTCGTGGCACCATAGGGAGCTCCACCGAGGGCCCCACTGGCTGCGCTCGCATGGCACCACCGCGCCCATTTCGGCACCTCTCTCACACGTTTCGTGGCACCAGAGGGAGCTCTACTGAACGCGGTACCTACAACGCGGTACTCACAGTTGCATTTGGTTGGGACCTGCGCCAGGATACTTCCAAA